AGAGTAGAAGGGCTTCACATACTCTTCAAGAGATCTAAGTTAACACCACAATAATAAAACAAGCAAACTTTGGGGCCATCTGGTTAAGATTCAGTGAAAATAACAGTGTCACTTCTATTATATGTATTTCTGACAAAGATATATAACCTAAATCTAATCATGACAAAACATCAGACAAACCAAAAGAGGGAGACATCTACAGAATAGCTGGCCTGTATTCTTCACAAGTATCAAGGTCTTGAAAGTCAAGGTAAAACTGAAGAACTGTTTCTGACTGAAGGAGTCTAAGGAGTTATGACAGCTAATGAAACATGTAATTACACGCTGAATCCTACTGACATTATTGGGACAATTGGCAAAGCCTGAAGGAGATATGACGATTAGATGGTATTAATGTATCATTGTTAATTTTCTGATTTTTAATGATCGTGTTGTGGATTACAAAAGAATGTCCTTGGTTGTAAAAAATACACACCACAATTTTAGGGGGTAATGGGAAAACATGTCAGCAATTTACTCTCAAAAGGCTGAGGGAAACAAAGTTATTTAAATTATACTTTGAACTTTTTTGTAACTTTGAGATTGTTTACAGATTTTTTTAACGTATAACAATAATAATAATGACATTCCACTGTTTAAAACTTGTCTGTGACTTCTCCCTTCTCTTAGAGAAAAAACCAAAATCCTTAAAATGAAACTTGACATGATCTTGTCCCTGTCTACTTTTCCAGTCTCATCTTGTTGAATCTTTCCTTGGGGCTTACTGCATTTTTTTTTTAAGCTTTTATTTAACAGAGAGAGAGCACAAGCAGGGGAAGCAGTAGGCAGAGGGAAATTGAGCAAGAAGCCTGATGTGGGGCTCAATGTAGGGCTCAATCCCAAGATCCTGGGATCATGACCTCAGGAAAAAGCAGACACTTAACCAATTGAGCCACTCAGGCACCCCTGGAATTACTGCATTCTGATGTTCTTTTTGCTCCTCGAAAAACCTATATGCTTTAGAAGTATGAAGCCTATGTATTTCCTATTACTTCTGCTTAAACCATTCCCTAATTTCTTGCCCATATTCACTAAATTTTTTTCTTTTTATTTTATATATTTTGGCAATACCTTTTCAAAATCTTTGCACCCAGGACTAGATCAATTCCCCATTATTCATTCTCACAGCACTACATATTTTCCCTTCATAATTATAGATTTGTTTTTATAATTGATTGATGTGCCCCCCCATTACACTGCTTCTTCAGGACAGAGCTATGTCTTTGCTGACCATAATACCCCAGGGATCTAGCCCAGTGGACAATAAAAATTTATTGAATAAATGAAATGTTTAATCCATCCGTCTCTGTCCCTGACTCTGTCCTCTCTTCTATATCAGCAGCCTTTCTCTCCTGCCCTCCCTCTCTCCTCTTCCTCCTCCATCTCTCTTTCCCTCTCCTTTGGCTTCTAATCAGCCTTGAAACATATTCAAGCTTTTCCAGGCCTAAAGCCTTTCATCTTTTGAAACCACATCCTCCTCAAGTTGTAACACAATTTCCCTGCTTCTCTTCTCATCCAAACTTTCAACAGAGTGCTATAAACTTGCTATTTCCATCACCCCAGTTTCTATCCAATCTTCAGTCCACTGCAACTTGACTTCCACCTATACCATCCACCAAATATGTGCTTGCTGTGGTAGGTATAACCTAACTGCCAGGCCCAGTTATCAATTTATAGTCAGTGTCTCACCTGATCATTCTTAATAACTTCCTTGATATTCAGCTGTTTTTGTACATCTCTGATCATCTCGTTTTTGACTCCTTTATGAGCTCTTCTTTTTCAGCCCAGCTCTCAATTAATTTGTTTCATATAAGAAATATTTATTTAGTACCCATCATGTGCCAAGAGCAACTAGGGATACAATAGTAATTCAAACAAACAAAAATTCCTGTCTTCATAGAGCTAACATTCTTTTTTTTCTTAATTTGTGAATTTTTAATTAAGGTATAATTGACATTATATTAGTTTCCGATATACAACATGATGATTTGTTATTTTTATATATATTGTGAAATGATCACCACAGTAAATCTAATTAACATCTGTCCCATACATACCTATAGATTTTTTTTTCTTGTGATGAGAACTTTTAGCATCTACTCTCTTTCAAATATGCATTACAGTATTATTAACTATAGTCACCGTGCTATACATTTCATCCCTAGGACTCTTATATTTTATACCTGGAAAATTATACATTTTGGCTTTCTCCATCCATCTCACCCACCCCCCCACTCCCAGTCTCTGGCAACCAACAGTCTGTCCTCTGTATCTATAAGTTTCATGGTGTGTGTGTATGTGTGTGTGTGTGTGTGTTAGATTCCATATATAAGATCATACAGTATTTATCTTTTTCTGTACATCCTTTTTCGCTTAGCATACTGCCCTTGAAATCTACTCTTGTTGTCACAAGTGACAAGATTTCATTCTTTTTTATGGCTGCAAAATATTCCATCTTACATATATACCACATTTTCTTCATCTATGCATCTGCCAATCAACAGGTTGTTTTCATATCTTGGCTATTGTTAATAAGGCTGCGATGAACATAAGGGTGCATATATCTTTTCTAATCATTGTTTTCACTTTCTTAGGATAAACACCCAGAAGAAGAATTGCTGGATCATATGGTAGCTCTATTTTTAATTTTTTGAGGAACTTTCATACTGTTTCCCATAGTGGCTGTACCAGTTTGCATTCCCAACAACCCTATAAGGGTTCCCTTTTCCCCACATCCTTGCCAACACTTATTTTTCTGTCTTTTTGATATTACTCATTCTGACTGGTATGAGGTGATATCCCATTGTGGTTTTGATTTGCATTTCCTTGATGATTAATGACACTGAGCACCTTTTAATATGCTTGTTGGAAAAAAAAATATGCTTGTTGGCCACCTATATGTCTTCTCTGAAAAAATGTCTATTCAGATCTTCTGCCCATTTTTTAATTGAATTGTTTGGGAGTTTTTTGCTATTGAGTTGTATAAGTTCATTACATATTTTGGATATTAACTCTTTATTAGATATATGATTTGCAAATATTTTCTTCAATTCCACAGGTTGTCTTTTCATTTTGTTGATTGTTTCCTTTGTTGTGCAACAGTCCTAATATTAGAATTCCCCAAGATTTTATCCTTGGCTCACAGCTTTTATTTTGCATACTTTCTCTCAGTAATCTTAGTTATACTCATGGCTCCAACTACCACAGATTAGTTGATAATTTCCCATTTTTTTTTCCTTCAATCTAGACACGTCCCATGAGTTTTTAGGCTGGATGTATTTATTTGGACACAATGTAGCAACTTTGAAATAGATATATCCAAATAAGAACACTTTCTTTTTTCCCTGAGTTTCTCATTTCAGGGGATGTACTCAGTTACCTAAACCAGAAGTAACCTTAGATCCTTCCTCTTCTTTCTTTCTAATATCCAACCAGTCACCATCTCCTGCCAAATTTACTTTCTCTAGCATTCCCCTAACTGCTCTTCCTTTCTGATCTGGTTCCCTTTGGATTCACTTTCCAATAGCTTCAAATACAATCTCAGTCCCTTACTTAAAAGCTTTAAGTAGTTTTTTCATTACCAAAAAGATGAAGTCTATGTTTTCATCATAGTGTAAAACCCACTGTGATCTGGTCCCTGCTTGATTCTCCAGTGTTCTGTTTTGCTTTCCAGCTTAAAGATTTTGTTGGTTCACACAGTGTGGCATAATGATTAATATCACAGTCTTTGGAGCCAGGCTGCTTAAGTGTGATTCCCAGGTCTATCACATATTTACCTCATTATACCCATTTCACAGTTGAGGAATAGTCACTATGAGATTATTTGGAGGACTGAATTAATACATGTGTGCTTAGACCAGTTCCTGGCACATATTTACTATTATATTAGACTCTTCTAATATTTCTGCTTTTGTTAACCTACTTCCTCCTCCTTCTTGCGATATATAAGTTCAGCTATGGATTCCATACAGTCATCAGTTTTTTATAAGCTTACATTTGATTTACTACCCAAGAAATTCATACCAATTATGACTTATTTCATATTAGGGTTAATGTTCTAAGCAGGTATCCTCATAATGTTTTCTTTTTTTTCTCTTGATGATGGCAAATGTAGCTACTTCAACTGTTCTATGTTGCCGGAGATCAAAAATGCCGTTTTTGTACCATATCATTTAAATGTAAAAGTGAGAGAGAGAAATAGGGCTAACTCCCTAGTTTCTAGGTTGGGTGACTAGGAAACCAGACAATACTGTAGATTCCTCAAATGTTTGTTCACACACACACACACACACACACACACACACATTCTTGTTTCTCCCAAGTTTCCTCTTCAGCCTGCCACTCTAATTAGTGTCACTTTGGCCAACCTACCCTTTTCTCACAGAATTTTCCTTTTCTGCCACACCCACCCACCAACAGAAAAATGTTTCATAACGCAGCCTTCCCTTTAAGAACAGAGCTACACGGAAATTGAACGCCTAATCGTGCCTTCTGGGTTTCTCCGTCGCCGTAGCAACTGGAGCAGGAAGGGGCGGGTTCTGTCTTCCTACGTCCGGCTCGCCGCGTGCGCCAGCCGCTTTGGTGCGGGGGCGCGGGCTTCTAGGGTTGAGCGGGTTTCTTAGGTCGGGGTTGGGGCCGGAGCCGGAGCCGGAGCCGGAGCCGGATTCCGCGCAGACGGCCACGTCAACCTAAACCTACACCGCCCTTCCCACCCTGCTGCCGTCGCACCCGCAGAGCCTGCCGCAGGTCCTCCCTGGCCGCGTCCTCCACGCCTTTCCCACAGTGCCCCGCGCGAGGCCCCGCCCCGGTTCGCCGTGGGGACCGGGGCGCGAGGAGCCGACTGGAGCTGCCGCGCTCGTTGTTGCCGGTGCGGCTTGTCCTCTCCCATCCCGAGCGCGGCGGCCCGGCGGTCGGAGAGGGCGTGCTTCGTTCGCGCGCGCACAGCTTGCGCTCGGTCGGGTGGGGTCCGCCGCCGGGACTTGAGGATGGGGGAGTAGCTGCAGGAAGCGACCCCGCTACACCGAGGTGGGCATGGGCCGGGGCCCGGGGCTCAGCCGGAGCCGGCGGCGGCCTGGGCTCTCCAGGAAGGGCGAGAGAAATGCCTGTGCACCTCAATCTCCCTTTCCCTCTCCTCCGCCCCTGCGGCCGGTTTATTGTGTTCTCGCTCCCCATCTTCACCCGATTACCTACATCCTCACCCTCCTTCCGACCTCGGTTCCCTGCTTTTAACTCCAATTTCTCACTTAAGCCTCAGTTACTCAGGCTCTTCTCTCCCATGTCCGGCCGGAGACTTCATACCCCAGCAACACTTAATAGTTTCTTTCACTCAATGCCTCCCATCTTTCCCCTCTCCCGCATCCCATTCTGGAGTGATGGCAGCTAGAAAGCCTTCGTATTGCATTATACCTGCAGCTTCCACCTGTCCCCGAAGCTTGGCACTGATCAAGTAAGCCACACCCACGCTGAGAACGACCGCTAGGCAGGGAGCACCACCTATCCCAAAGTGGTGTTTAGGAATATGTTCTCTATTTCTCTCTAGTCTTGCTTTTTAGTCTGGGTATTTGTTACTCTCCATCACCATACTTTACAAAGATATGTTTTGGTTTCATGAAATGGAGGAGTTAGGAATGAGCCAAAGACCATTCGCAGGTAAGAAAGTTTAGAAATAGACATTTAGAATTAAATGAAGAAAGGAAAAACAGAATGCTAAAGTTAGTTTTTTCAAAGCAGTTTGAGATCTTTTGTGATCTGATGAAGTGGAACTTATTTACCCTTTACAGGTGAGCATGTCAAAATAAGTGATTCCTTCTCTTCTGGTTTTTTTTTTTCTTTTTTTCCTATTTTTATTTATCTCAAACGGAAACTTTGCAATAAAATTACACTTCTAGTTATTATTCTGCTATTTGTATAAAGTAGTCTCTATGTATAGTGTAAGCACTTTTTGAGAAAACTCAGGAAAAAACGGCCATACCAAGTATGTTGTCTCTTAAAACAATATAAATTCATGCCATTCTTGGGAGAATTATATGAAAAAGGACCCTATATTTTCCTTCTAGCCCCTCCAAAGGATATTTCCTATAAGTGAAATCTGATTAAAATGAAACCGGTGTAGACTTAAGTGGCAAAAAAAAAAAAAAAAAAGTAGTTAAAAAGGAAATGATATTACAAAAAAGCAGTTCTTAAGCTAGATAGCAAAGGAAAGGAAACCGCTTTTTCCCAACCTTGTGTTCTGGTGCTGATCAGAGCAAATAGTTGAATTTGTTTGTTTTTAAAGTGTTCTATCTAGCTACAACTACATACTACCTTTTACTTTTATCTCCTTTCTTGAGTAGTTTCACAAATTGGCGAGGGAAGCAGTGAAGGGGCCCCCAACGGTGATTTGCCACTGAATGGAGACTATTACTGGTCATGTTATTTAATAGTGTTAGTGCTATTTTTTAAAATGTATTTTTAACTACCTGGTTTCCTCTCTTTAGATTGACATTTTGGGAGACAATTTCATGACGCTTGATGCACTCTTGGAGTAATGTGAACAGAACTTCTCCAACTTGCATATTATATCAGCTGGAACCAGCAGTGTATTTTAATGTTCACTTAAATCCTAACTTGTATAAGAAAAAGAATGGAAGTCTGGTTAAATAAAAATGACTATGTCAGAGACTTGAAAAGGATCATTCTTTGTTTTCTAATAGTATATATGGCCGTTTTAGTGGGCACAGATCAGGATTTTTACAGTTTACTTGGAGTATCCAAAACTGCAAGCAGTAGAGAAATAAGACAAGCTTTCAAGAAATTGGCATTGAAGCTACATCCTGATAAAAACCCGGTAGGTAAAATTTTCTTTTTAAATATCTCTAATTAATATATTTTAGTAAACTTTTGATACATATTTAAATTTTATTTTTTATTTTTTTTTTAAAGATTTTATTTATTTATTTGTCAGAGAGAGAGGGAGAGAGAGCAAGCACAGGCAGACAGAATGGCAGGCAGAGGCAGAGGGAGAAGCAGGCTCCCCACGAGCAAGGAGCCCGATGTGGGACTCGATCCCAGGACGCTGGGATCATGACCTGAGCCGAAGGCAGCTGCTTAACCAACTGAGCCACCCAGGCGTCCCCATATTTAAATTTTAAATAAGTGCTCACATGGTTAAGAAAATACATGTCAAAAATCACAGTTCAGTTTTTGTACCAAGAAGCAGCAAAATATTCTAGTTGAGAACAATGTGAAGGAATGTTGATACCAAAAATTTAATTCCTTCTTAATTTAAAACTAATTTACAGCAGGTCCATTACAGGTGTTAATTCCAAAGCCAACAAAAATGTTGTGGAGTAGTTTAAGTAGTTTTTTTAATAAAGTAAGTTAGGTAAGGGACACCTGGGTGGGATCAGTTGGTTAAACTTCTGATTTGGTTCAGATCAAGATCCCAGGGTCCTGGAATTGAGTCCCACGTCTGGCTTCTTGCTTAATAGGGATCCTCCTTCTCCCTCAGCCTGCTACTCCCCCTGCTTGTGCATGTTTTCTCTCTGTCTAACAAATAAATATATAAAATCTCAAAAAAAAAAAAAAAAGTAACAGAAAAATTATTTCCTTAGAACTTGAAAGGTTCTTGCTAAAAATGGCAGTAGGAGCTAATAAGACCATGTTTCATCTTTCACTGTTTTCTCCCACATACAAATTCCAGACCAGAATCAGAAATTACTTCAAATTAAAACTTTAGAACAGCCAAATCCAGTTAATTCCCATCATAAATATTTGATTATGTATTCAATAATGTCATTTTTTTCAAAATAAAATGTTTTAATACTTAGAGTATTTTTAGTAATTTCTGTAACTTTTTAATGAGATTCAGCTTATCAGGAGGAAAGGTATGGTTTGTAATTTTGTTTCCTATGTAGAAGTTTTTAAATAGAGTTATTTTATTTTCATTGCATACAGCTCAGCAGTAGAACTCTTGTTAGTTATCTTTCCTGAGATCTGCACTCTATTTAGAATTTTTATTTTTCATATTTTTCTTTTAAAATTACAGAACATGATTTTTTAAGTTTCCGTATGAAAGATGGTAGTCCTTTTATAGCTAATTATTATTTAGATGAAAGCATTCCTTAGAAACCAGATCTGTGCAACAGTAACAAATGAGGAACATTTCTAATCCAGTTTTGAGTTTTACTCTGGTATCAGTCCCATTTAATTATCTGGTGGATTGGGGCACATACCTTTTGTTTTTTGTTTTGGGGTGGTTTTTAGTTAATATGTTGCTTTTGCCTCAAATGGAAAAATAACCAACAAATTTCTTTGTAATTGTTTTAGAGGTAGCATAATATTTACAAATTTGAATGTTTCTAAGGTTTAGTTTTTCTCAGTTGCATTTCTTAGAAGGAATGACATACTGTAAAACCATATCTGTCAGCCTTTGGAGGCATCAATTCTCATTTCTCTGTTATTTTCCTTATTCTTTTTTTTCTTTGGAAGATTGTAGTTCTTTAGAAATACTTTCTTATTTTAACCTGTGATAACACATTTCATGTCATCTCCTTACTTTTTCTCCCAGAAATCTTAAGATTAAATTAAATCTTCATATAGGCTTTGAAGAGACTTGATCACATACCTAAAACAAACGTTATATCTAATATTTTTAATAGAATAACCCAAACGCACATAGTGATTTTTTAAAAATAAATAGAGCATATGAAGTACTCAAAGATGAAGATCTGCGGAAAAAGTACGACAAATACGGAGAAAAGGGACTTGCAGATAATCAAGAAGGAGGCCAGTATGAAAGCTGGAATTATTATCGTTATGATTTTGGTAAGATAATAAGATACTCTGTATGAAATATTGTTTTTATTTGAGTAAATTTTGAAAACTAATTTTGTTTTACTACTAAGCTTACGTAAATATGTGTCACTTTTTTAATATAATATTGGAGCAGAATTCCAGAGGAGGGGAGGGGAAGTAAAATAAACACAGGTATCAAGGCAAGAGGGAGCATTCACTTGCCCAGCATTTCTCTTCATTTTTAATTATCCTGAAATGCACTCTAAGAACTGAGATATTCTTTTGTAGTAGACCACATAAATACTTTAAATTTATATTGGAGTATTTTTTTCTCAAGACTGACCTTTTTTTTTCCAAAATAGTATTTTCATTTATAATCACTACAGTGCAGTAGGGTGTATCAGATGTCAGCAATCTATGTTTCACAGGCTAAATCTGGCCTGCCACCTCCTTTTATAAATAGAGCTTTATTAATCATAGAATTATGAGACCATGATAATTATGAGAGTAAAATCAGGCTCATTTATTTACATATTGTCTTTGGCTTCTTTCACTTTGGGAGCAGAGTTGAATAGTTATGACAGAACTACACATTCCACAAAGCCTATTTAACTGGCCTCTGCAGAAAAAGTTTGCCAACACCTGGTCTTTATCCATCACTAGTATTATTTTTATATTTCACATAGTAAGGAATTTTCTCACATTGATTTTAATTATGACAATTTATATTTACTAAATAAGTCGATCTCTACTATAAAAATTCTAAGACTATTAAAAAATATTTTAGTGACACCATTTATTTAAAAAACCATTTAATCTGAGAAGGAAGTAAGGTCTGTAGTGTAGTTAAGAGTAACAGATCAGTGTCAATTTCCTAGTTTTGATATTTTACTAAAACTACATAAGTCACCATTAGGGGAAGCTAAGGGAAGGGTACATAGCGGTCTGCTATTTTTACAACTTCCTTTGAGTCTATAATTATTACAAAATAAACAATTAAAAAATAATAATAGAACTTTTCTGTGGAGATGAAATCATGGGAATATTAGGAACTCCTATGCACAACTATAAGAGTCCCTATCAGGAAATGGATATTTTTTGGTTTTTTATAACTCTTCAGATGCATCACGAGTGGTATTATTTACTCTCCATTTTTGTTAGTTTGTTGCACATTCTTCAACTTTGAGATTTAGTATAGTAATCTGATTTTTGATGAAAAAACAAGAGTAAGTAACCTATTTTTCTGTGGTAATTTATTTTTATGATGAACTATTAATTTATAATTTTTACTTTTAAATTAGGTATTTATGATGATGATCCTGAAATCATAACACTGGATAGAAGAGAATTTGGTAAGTTCATGATGATGTGGTTTTCTAAAACTAGTCCAAGACCACTCTTTTACCTAAAACTCTTAAGGACAGATATATTTGGAATTTAGATTTTTTTTTTTTTTTGGTTTTAACATGGTAATGAGTATTTTTAACTTTCAAAATAAAATAGTTATTTTACCAGAAAAAATAGGTTTATTCAGGAATAGCAGAAAATTGTTACTCAGGACATGCAAGCTATGGTAAAACCATAGGCAAGTCCTGCAAATAAAAGGAACTTTTATCTTATGGAGAAGGAAGTTGGGAGAGGTTGTTCTGAATGAGAGTCCATTAGAGAAAAGCAAGAATTCAAAGTGATAACAGTTTCTCTTTAGCTGATTTGCGGGGTAGTCAATTTCTCATAGAAGATTCAATGTCCATCTTTTCCTATTGTGGCCTGTAATTGATCATTTTTTCCTGTTGATGATTCTTTTGTTAGGATCTTCATTTGACAGTTCTTCCTGTAATTGACTTTGAGTGGTGTGCCTCCCCTTTTCAACTTTCCCAGTCTACTTTAATGAGGTTGTCCCACATTTCCCCCTTTTTGGTCAAGATCTTTATCCAAAAGCATCTCTGATCAAGAGCCAGGAATTCCATATTTAATGGTTTTGTTCCTCAGTGCCAGGAAGGACCTTTTCTGGTCCACACATCCTACTTCAAGGAAAGTACATATAGTTAGAAACCATTTATGGTCACATTTGAATAACAAGGAAGGTTGGGCATTTCTCCTGTATAGTTCCTATTTTATCAAGTTTGTAAGCATTGGAGATCGTCTCCTTACTGGGTATGTGATTTTTACAAAAGTTTGCCAGGTAACAAAATACAAAGCTATATCGTGCAAAACAGAAGTAACCTAAATCCAGATTTTATGAGGGTTCTAAACCAAGACCCTAGATCAGAAAGTAACTAACTGGGGCACCTGGGTGGCTCAGTGGGTTAAAGCCTGGGTGGCTCAGTGGGTTAAAGCCTCTGCCTTCGGCTCAGGTCATGATCTCAGGGTTCTGGGATCAAGCCCCTCATCGGACTCTCTGCTCCTCGGGGAGCCCGCTTCCTCCTCTCTCTCTGCCTGCCACTCTGCCTACTTGTGACCTCTCTCTGTCAAATAAATAAAATCTTTAAAAAAAAAATTAACTAACTGAAAATATTTATTGGCATTTACTCCAACAAAGGGGAGAAAGGTTCTTCCAACAGAAGCAAACCCAGAGTTATGGATGCCTCTTGGAAATCCCCACTTAGGTGGCCATGAAAGCCAATCAGTGAGTACTGCAAGAGCACACCGAATTTACAAAGTGCATTTGGGACAGTATAATGCAAGTATACGTGAAGCAATAGCTAATGAATTTGTTGCAAAAAATAACAAAACCTCAAAGATGTATTAAAACAGTATTGTTATCTCAAAAGAACTTTTAGAAACAAATGTTATCTAACCATACAACCTGTAAGGTTGCAAATTCAGAGACCATGAATTTGTATAAGAGTTCCAGAGTCAGATAACACATCAGATGAAAGAAGGATTTGTGAATTCTCAACCTTCTAACCCTTCAGAAAAAAACAAGTAAAGGATTAATTTGATCACAGGATCATGATGAAGCTATTTCCAAAAAACGTAATCAAAAGAAGAGGTTTCCCCCTGTTGTAGAGGTTTGGAAAACGCAGACAAAGCCTTTCCTTCTCTCTCACATACAAAGAGGAAAAAGGGAAGTTGGATGTCTAAAAGCATTTATTAGGGGCTTTACTAGGTTTTTCTTTAAAGTCCCAAAAGCTTTGTCTATCCACTCTTTCCAAATAGTAGGGTCAGGTGTGTCCTTTTTTTTAGTAAAGCATATAGAAGTTGAGCTAGAAGAAAAGTTTGGAATCCACTTTCAGCAGTGTCCAGTCAGTCCAAGAAAACCTTGCAATTAGAGATTAGCTTCAGAGTTGGGGGGGGAAGTTCGGGATCCACTGAAGCCTACCTGAATTCAAAACGTAGCCGTTGTTCTGGCATAATATTTTTCTAAGAAATGTCAACCTGGTAAATGAAAGGGGTGGCAGAACTAAGGAGATAAAGGTGCATATTTCTTAAAGACCCGAGACAAAAGGGAATAGGTTCAGAGCTAGGAAGCTGTTGAGGTTGATTAGAGACCCGCACTATTTGAACTGTTTCAGTACTCTGGGGCAAGTTGACTTTATAGCAGTGAGGTAGAGCACAAAGACTATAGCTCTGGTGTCAAGGACAGGGAAAAACAAGTAGTTTTTCCAAGCTAATTAAGTGGGAAGATTGGGAAGATGCCTGGTAGTTCCTTGGATCCCTATCACTGGGAATTAGGAAGGCATTGGAAAGGTGTCTAGAGGACTAAAGACATCTGAAGCACTTAAGAGGGTAACAGTCTTTTATCCAATGTCCTGGCTCTTTTCAACAACAGCAGACACTATGAGGTTTTGGTTTTGCTTAGCGGCTTTCATTTGCTGGGGTTGAAAATTAAGAATTTTAATGGTTTGTCTTTCAGGTGACTCATTTAGGGTGTGAGCAAGCTGGTTTGCCAAATTTAATCTGTAGTGGACATAGTTTCCCATTTTGCCTTGGTTCTTTTAACTAAAAGAGACCCGGGTTCAGCTTGCTAATAAACATAAAGTTAAATGCTACCTGTGTGGATTCAGCATGCACAGTAAGATAAGAATTTTCTTTAAAGATAATTTGAAGTTGATTGTAATAATCATGAACAGGCTCCATCAGGCTTTTGTGTGCAAGCCTGAATTCTGTTCCAGGCAACAGGCTTAGGAAAGACTGCTGTAATTGCTCAATGGAGGTTTATAGCCGAGTGTTCTAACATCTTGCCAAAAGTTCAGGGTCTATTTCTCAGAATCCCTTTCAGGATGTTCACCCTGGGCTGATTTCATCCAGCGTTTGGCCTGGCCCTCATGAACAAGCATGTAGACTAACTGAAAAATATCTGAGAGACCAGGTTGGTAAGTTTGAATAACTATGCTAAAATCTTCAGCAGACCTATGGGGGTCGTCACTCACTTTAGGAAACTCTCTAACTATGGCTTGTAATTCAGCTTTAGTCCAGGGAACCTAAGAAATTTGGGGTTTATTTGGATTCTCAGAAGTCTCTAATGGGGCAGGTTTAGTAGGTTCAGGAGAGATGGGAACAGGGAGAGGTTCCAAATAACTCAGAGAAGTGCAGTTAGAAAATTCAAATGAGGAAACCGAGGGCCTGAGGGAGGTGGAGATAGAAGTGTGTAGTAGGGAAGGAGGATGATGACAGTGGAGGTGGGGTCTGAGCGTGGGGGGCTGTACACATTCTGAGGCGAGATCGGGGAGGGGGAAAGGAGCCCTTGGAAGCCTTTTAGTCTTTTTTTAATTGTTCGCCTCATTTAGTATAAAAATTGTATTTTGCAGAGGCAATTTTAGGTTCCTGGTAAAGGTCAGATGCTTCAAAATACCAGGTAATACAGGAATCCCATTCAGTTTCAACAACTGTAGAGCCATGGCTATCCAGTTCAGTTTTAAGGAAAGTAAGTTTGGGGAGATCCAAAGTTCACCATAATGGTCACTGAAGTTCTAAAATTAAATTTACTTAAGTGGGTCCATTTACTTAGAAATATGCTTAAGGATGGACCATAGTTTTTAAACATAAAACCAGCTGAAGTCCTAGAAGTACAGACACCCTCAAAGCATTTTGATGACTAGTACCCCATTTCTTAGAGTTTTTTTCCTAAAGCATAAAGAAAAATTCCTAAACAGCACAGTTCCAGTAGGAATAGTCTGGTTCCAGAAGGAATCAAACTAAAAGCCAGTACAGTCCCAACAAGAATAGTCCCTATAGAAAAGGTCTGGTCCCAAAAAGAAGTTGAACCAAAGGCCAACGCAGTTCCAACAGAAACAGTCTGGTTCCAAAGAAGAGTTGGACCAAAGGCCCAATGAGTACTCTCAAGAAGAAGAAAGCCTTAAAACAGATCCTGAATAAAGCCTGAAGAGCTCAAAATGCAGAGAACAGAACTCAGAATCCAGGAAAAAAACCTAACAGATTACAGGGTTGTAAGGAAGGAGTTAGCTCAGTTGACTCTGTGGGTACCAGCATCTGCTTTTCACCTATCTCATAGTTGTTGGGGTCCTGCCTGGAGCCCATGTCTGATCGCCAAATAATGTCAACCTGAAAACAGGATATTTTACCAGGAAAAGAAAGGGTTTATTTAAGAATAGCAGGGAATTACAGTTTGGGACATGCAAGGTAGGACAAAAACATAGGCAAGTCTAAAAAACAGCAGAGAGGAATGTTACTTTATGGGGAAAAAGGAGGAAATTGGGAAGGGTTGTTCTGAATGAAAATCCACTGGAGGAAAGCAAGAGTTCAGGGTGACAACAGTTTAATTGGCAGATCTACAGACTATAATTGATCATTCTTTTCTTTCTTTCTTTTTTTTTTTTCAAGATTTTATTTATTTATTTGACAGAGATCACAAGTAGGCAGAGAGGCAGGCAGAGAGAGAAAGGAGGAAGCAGGCTCCCCGCCAAGCCCGATGAGCCCGATGCAGGGCTTGATCCCAGGACCCTGGGATCATGACCCAAGCCGAAGGCAGAGGCTTTAACCCACTGAGCCACCCAGGCTCCCTGATCATTCTTTTCTGTTAATAATGATTCTGTTGGGGTTTATAATTGACAGTTCTTACTGTAATTGATGCTGAGAGGTATGGCTCCTCATTCCAGCCTCCAACTCTAGTGAAGTTTCATTTTATTACTTTTCATCAGTACACTGTGGATTAAATAATGTTCTTCGCAGAATGTGGGGCAGTATACTTTTTTCTAAAACATTAATATTTCTGCAGAGTAAATGTGTAAGTATGTACACAAGAAAGAAAGAGAAAAGAATGAATGATAAGTGGCCCCAGAACAGTTCAGGACAGGTTTGGATGCCATGAGAGCTTGCTGCAAACTTGCACATAAATTCCCAGTTTTGGAGCTTTTGGATTTCAGAGTTTTGGTTAACTGTGGTTATTTTG